GGGGGGGACCCCGATTTTGGGGTGTCCCCAAGTTCTGGGGGTGTCACCAAGTTTTGGGGGTGTCCCCGTGGCTCAAGGGCATCCCCAAACTTTAGGACTGTCCCTGGGGTCTTGGGCTGTCCCCAGTTTCTGTGAGGTCTCCTCATCTTGGGGGTGTGCCTGTGCTTTCGGGTTGTCCCTCTGGGCTGTCTCCTTGTTTCAGGGGTGTCCCCAAGATTTTGGGAGTGTCCCCAAGATCTTGGGGGTGCCCCCCCACCCCTCCTTCCCAGACTCCCCATTCCAGCTCATCCATCGAACTGGGTTGACCCCAAAGTTTGGGGGTTTCCCGTTGGTTTTGGGGTTATCCCCGTGGTTCAGGGGTGTCCCCTCTCTCCGGGGGGGTCCCCCACGGTTCGAGGCCCCCCCCAAAATCCGGGGTCCCCCCCAGGGATGCGCCGGCTGCTCCTGGCCCAGCTGGAGCCCACGCTGCGCCTCGGCCACCCCGTGCTGGCCCGGGGGCTCCAGGCCCTCCTGCACCCCATCCTGGGGGGGCTGCGCCGCCAGCACCAGGTGGGTGCGGGGTTTGGGGGTCCCCCCGACCCCCAAAATCCTCCGTGACCCCCAAAATCCCCCCTTGCAGGCCCAGCAGCTCGTGGCCCAAGCCCAGGCCCTGGCGGTGGCCGCGGTGACAGCCGTGGTGGCCGCCAGCTCCAGCGGCCGCTTCCGCAGCGCCTGCCTGGGCGCCCTGCAGGTTTGGGGGTTCGGGGGGTCCCCCCGGGTTGGGGGGGGGTTTTGGGGGTGTCCCCGGTGTCACCGTGTCCCCCCGCAGGTGCAGGACACGCCGGCGCTGGCGGCGGCCGCGCGCCGAAGATGGGCCGAGGTCTCGCGCCGGCCGGGGCTGCCCCGCGGGGGTGAGGGGGAAACGGGGGATTTTGGGGGGTCCCCAAAACCCACCCCGGGCACTGAACCCCCCCCTGTGCCCCCCAGGGACCCCCCAAAAGCAGCGCCGGGGGCAGAGGGAGGAGGAGGAGGAGGAAGGGTCCTGGAGCAACCAGAGCCAGGTGGGGTTTGGGGGTCCCTCCCTCCTCTGGG